AGTGTGATCTTCCACTCCTCACTCCCATATGTCCCTCTCTCTCCCCTCACATAGCCACTACCCTAATTCAGGCCCTTATCAGCTCCCACCTGAGCCATTTCAATAATTTGTAACTGGTGTCCCTGCCTTGTCTCTCCCAGATCCAATCTATCCCTCACTCAACTGCCAAAATAATTTTTCGAAACATAAGTCTGACCATGTTACCTCCTCCCCTTTCATGGCTTCCCCTCCCCTCCCCTCGGTTGAGATACTTTACAGAAAAAAATTGAGGCCATTCACCCTGAGCTCCCTCTTCTCCCCTCTTCCTCATCTCATATCACCCAGATGCCTTCTACCACTATCTCCTGCTTCACCCCCATTTTATATGAAGAAGTGGCCTTACTCCTTTCTAAGGCAAACCCCTCTACCTGCAAAGCAATCCCACCTCTTCTGTCATCTCCACTCTTCCTTATCTTCTACCTCTCCCCGTCTATTGGCTCCTTCCCTCCTGCCTACAAACATGCCCATGTCTCTCTCATTCTCAAAGAACCCTCACTTGATCCTTCCATCCCCAGTAACCAATATCCTATATCTCTTCTGCCCTTTGTGGCTAAACTCCTGGAGAAGGCACATTTCAATAGGTGCCTCCACTTTCTTCTCATTTTTTTCTTTGCCCCCTACAATCTGGCTTCCAACCTCACCATTTCACTAAAACTGCTCCTTCAAAGTTACCAGTGATGTCTGTAACTATTAAATCCTATGGCCTTTTCTCAATTCTTATTATTCTTGACTTTTCTGTGGCCTTTGATATTTCAGACCACTTTCTTGTCTTTCATACTCTCTTTCCTCTATTATCTCCTAGTTGTCTTCCTCCCTATCAAACCACTTGTTCTTAGTCTTCTTTGCTGGATCCCCTCTGGGCCATGCTGTCTAACCACCGGTGTCCCTCCCCAGTGTCTTGGGTTATCTTCTCCTCTCTCTATACTACTTCACTTGGTGATCTCATCAGCTCCCATGGATTTAATTACCATCTCCATGCTAAGGATTCTGAAATCTACCTATTCTGCCCTAACCTCTCTGCTGACCTCCAATCTCCCATTTCCAACTGCCTTTCAGGTATTTTGAAATGGATGTCCAGCAGACATCTTAAACTCAACATGTCCAAAACTAAACTCATTATCTTTCCCCCGAAATACTACCCCCTTCCAATAGAGGTCAATACAATCCTCCTGGTCCACCATACTCACAACCCAGGTGTCATTTTCAATTCCTCATTCTCTCTCAACCTCCATATCTAATCTATTGACAAGACCTATCAATTTCACCTTTGCAATATTTGTCAAATATACCCCCTTCTCTCCTCTGATACTAACACCACTCCACTGCTACAGGGTCTGCCTGCCTCAAGCCTCTTCCCAGTTAATTCATCCTCCATTCAGCCACAAAAGTGATTTTCCTAAAGCACAGGTCAGACCATGTCATCCCCTACTCAGTACACTCCAGTAGTTTCTCTATCACCTCCAGGATTAAATGCAAAATCTTCTGTTTGGTGTTCAAAGCCCTTCATAACCTACTCCTCCTCCCCTCCTCCCCCTACCTTTCTTATACCTTACTTCACAACATGTATTCTTCATTCCAGTGACACTGGCCTCCTTGCTATTTCTCAAATAAGACATTCCATCCCTCACTCTGGACATTTTCTCTGACTGTCCTCCATGCCTCGGAATGCTCTCCCTTCTCAATTCTTTCCATTGGCTTCTCTGGTTTCCTTCCAGTCCCCTCTAAAATCCCACCTTCTACAGGCAGTCTTTCCCAATCCCTCTAATTGTAGTGCTTTCCCTCTGCTAATTATTTCCTATTTTTCCTGTATATAGCTTGTTTGTACATATTTGCCTGTTGTTTCCCCCATTAGAGTGTGAACTCCTTGAGGGCAGGGACAGTCTTTTGGCTCTTTTCCTATCGTCAGAGCTCTGCACAATAACTGGCATATAAAGGGCATTTAACCAATTCCTATTGATTATTATTTCAGAATACCTTCCGCTTAGTCTTTATTTATCCTGTATATACCTAGTTATTTACATGCTGTTCTTTAGGGGTATCAGTGGTTTTTTTGGGGGGCCTTTCCCCAAAATTTGGCACAATGCCTGGCACATAATAAGCACTTAATACTTTGTTTATTGAACAACTATTGACTGATCTAACTCTATTCCCCTTACCTCCCCGCTTCCTCCAGCATCATTAAGATGAAAGCAAGAGCATTTACCCTGAACAAAAGGCCTTCTCCATGTATAGTATAGGTACTGGCTCTGAGGTCAGAGTACCTATGATCAAATCCCTTTTCTGCTGCTTACCGCCTCTGTGACCTTGGGCAAGCCACGCAACTCTGAGCCTTGGATTCTTCACCTGTAAAATAAAGGTGGTTATCCTTGATAGCCCGAGATCCCTACAGGGTCTGGGTCTATGAACCTCTGACCTTTGAGTGTTCACCTTGAACCATTTGATCACACAACCCTATGAACTATCATCTTCAAAAATTCTGCTGTTGTTCCTGCTTCCCTCTCCATGATTTAAGAAGGCCACGGAACTGGAGTCACATATAGGTTCAGTCCAAGCATTTGGGACCCAATAACCAGATAATTACTAACCCAGATACTGACTCTGTTGTCACTATCTCTAGGCCACTTATATATGGAAAAGGAATGCCCAAACTGACTTTTACCCTCTATAATCCCCAATAGGAAGACACTGATGAACTGCTAGTCCTATGTAGAGCAAACTCCTACTTCTTGCTCCCCTAATCCTTGTGGTTCAGGATCTGTCTAGCAAGTATAGCCTTTCTCCTGTTATCACTCCTCACATTCTCACCTCATTCAACTTACCTCTATTCCTCCCCAAACTTTTGCTTATCTTTCCACTTTACCCTATGGAACCTTCTATCACTAACATATTCTTTATTCTAGTTCTCTTCTTTTCACATTCTTTCCATTTTATTATTCTCACAATTTTTTTCTGCTTGCCCTGAACACCTGGGCACTAGGGAGGGTATGAATACCTATGCTGATGTTTTTATCTGCCCTGGTTATACTATACCAGGTACCCACTCATCATCTCATAACTGAGCAAAGTTATTCTTCTGCCTCATTATAGTAGTCCTAAATAACAGTACTCTCTCAAATAATTGCTAATTGTCCCAATAAAACAACCTCAGACAGTGCTACTCACTAATCACTATACTGTTTCTTCCTCTGCATTGGCTCTCTGCCAGTAGCATGGACCATAATACAGCCTGCCAGCCAGCTTGGAGGTAAAGGAACATGACATAAGAGGTAAAAGACAGCTGGTCAGGGTTCTACCCTTGATTTGCTTTTCGTTTCTCCCTGGATTATCTATATATAAATTAATTAGGGCTCTTAAGGGAGAGGAGCATTAATGTTTCTAGGAAGTATTTCCCTGTATGGTTACTTAGAAGCTTGCTTGTGATGGGGATGTAGCCTATTAATAATAGCATGAGCAGTTCTTCTCAACCTGATTCTCTGTTAGGATGGTTTGGGGGGAAAGATAATTTGTTCAGTTTTGGACATGTTGAGTTTAAGACGTCTACTGGAAATCTGGTTAGAGATGTAAGAAAGACAGTAGGAAATGTGAGACTGGAAGTCAGCAGAGAGGTTGGGGCAGGTAGGGAAATGAGATTAGGAAAATTGGGAAATAGCCCCAGAGAGGGTACAATACCCTTTAAGGGACTTATTTAAACTCACTCTTTTACATGAATAACTTTGAATGAATCTGAACAATGAATAACTAAAAAAAAAATCTAATGTAAAATTCTTGAAGGCAGAAACTGTTTCATTTTGGTCTTTATCTTTTGGAGTCAAGAAGACCTGGGTTGCAGTCTCTCCGATTGACATGTATTGAATGTGTGACCCTGGATAAGTCACTTAAACCAGTCCAAGCCCCCACTCTCTGAGACCATGAATCAATGCAATCATAGATCTGGTCCAAAAAACAAAAAACATATTCCTAGAACCTGGTACAGTGCTCGACTTATAACAGGCACTTAATAAATGATGGTTGCTTAAGTGATGAAGAAACCCACAACTGTAGCCTTGAATTTGGCTTTGGAGGCCTGAGCTAGAGATGCCCACATCTGGCTGCTTCTACCCCTTGACGACTGCTCGGAGAGTCCTGAGGGACCCTGGGCCCGGGGGTTCTCCGAGGCCAGGATGGAGCCAATGTCATGAGCCTGATGAGTAGATTTTCTTTAAAGGCCCTAAAACGTTGCGAGTTCTGATAGTGATGCGGTCCCTCCAGTTCCAGGAGAGTTATGGGTCTCCGGGGGGGTGGGGCTGAAGTCAGGGGAGGGGCTTGTGTATTTAAGGTCAATTTTTTTGAACCTATAGAAATTTCCCTCCAATTCCGAACCAGTCCCTAGTTGACGAATCTGCTGCCCTTCTCATAGGACTTGGGCCTTGTAAAGCATCGAGAGCACTGAAGGAAAGAAGAAATGAGCCCTAATTTATCTGACATTAGATAACCGTAAATGCCACGTAAATTCCCTTCATCAGTCATTCCAGGGCACGGTTTAGGGCGAATCTGCCGCTCGCGAGTGGGGCCCAGGGCCAGACGGCGTCCATTTTTGTTTTGCGGCCGTGCGCTCTCACAGTAACTTCGGGAAACAGGAGTCCCCCCCTCCCCAGGAAGGGGCGGAGCCTATAGGGGAGGATGGGTGGGGCCAAGGCACCGTGATGATTCAAACAGTCCAACAGGCGAGACGCCTCGGGCGGGTGCCGCCAATGGGTGGGAGGGCAGGGGGAGGGGCGCGGGAAACCTAGCGGGGTAGGTTGCACGGCGGCTTTGGCGCATTTTCGGCTGGTTTGATTCATCCATTTTGGAGAGACGGGGGAGCGGGGGGCTCGGCAGATCCCGGGGGCCTGGATCCAGTAGCAGCGGAGCCTGAGAAGCTACCGGCCCGGGCCTCGGCGGCCAAAGCAGCTCCGGGGGGGGGGGGGGGCCCGGGGGGCGGGGGGGGGGGCCTGGTCTCGGCTTCACTGGAGGTCCGGTTTCGGCTGCGAACATGTCCCGGCCCGTCAGGTCAGTGCGAAGGGAGAAGCCGTTGTGGAAGCCAGGGTGCGGCGGTGGTGGTGGGCTGGGGAAGAATAGGAGGAGGAAGAGGTGGACTTGGCGGGGGCGTGTATATATGGGGGGGGTAATCTTGCGGGTTAGAGCTGGGCCGCTTTTTTGCTGCGCGCCGCCGCTTCCCTCCGGGGGCTGGCGCGCGCCTCTGCGTGGGGGAGGGGGCGGGGGCTGGCTGGCTGGAGCGCGGCGATGCCTGCGGGGGGGGGGGGGGGAGGCGGCGGCGGCGCGCACGCGCGTGCCCCCGTGCCTACCCCTCCCGCCCCAGTCTCGCGCGGCACGGGTCCTCTCTTCTGCGGCTTGCAGGGGCGGGGGCTCCCTTGCGCGAGCGAGCGTCGCCGCTGCTGCCGTGTGGGACGAATTGCTCTGAGTGCGGAGCCCTGGGGGAAGTGGGGGTAGGGTGGGGGGCGGGAGTAGGAAGCTCGCTCCCCCACCAGGCCCCACCCCTTTGGGTCGGTGCCCCGGAGCCTGGGTGGAAGGAGAGGGCGGGAGTGTGACTGGTGGAGTCCCTTCTCGCCCCCGCCCCACACAGGCTTTCAGCCCCCGTCGTCCCACGCCAGGCGTGGGGAGCTTCGTCGTCTTAGGCTATGTCCTCGCCGTGGGGGCGTCGCCTTGGCTTGTCCCCGGGTCCCACCTCCGAGCTTGCTCGAAGGCCGCGCCTACCGCGCGGGGGCGGGGGCGGGAGGGACCCAATCTGCGTTTTTCTTGTAGGCCCCCAAATGACAGTCCTGGGCGGGAGGCGCGGCCAGGAATGGTCACTTCCCCGGCCCTGGGCCGTCCCCTTAGTCTTTGACTCCTGCTTGTTGGCGGAGAGAGGCGTAGGCCGAGCTTCGCCCAGTCTCCCCTCCCTCTGCTCCTCCCCTCCCCCTCCCCAGGGGTGAGCATGTGTCGGAATCGGTCCCGCCCCCTTTCCCCGAATAGCTTGGGAGCTGGTAAACTCAGTAACCCATCAGGCCCCACGCGTTCCCAGAATTTCAGCAAGTTTACTGTTCTCCAGTAGATGGTAGAATCGCCCTTTTCGACCCTTGTCACTTTGTGGGGCGTGTGCCACTTTTGGAGGGGGAGTGGCTTTGTCAAAACTAATGGGAGCCTGAATAGAGATTGGAAATGAAAGCTTGGTCTTTAACTCTGCTGCTGACTGTGAGGAACTGGTGTTTCGAGCAATATTCTTCGTGTGGTGGGAGGGGACCGTGTCTCTCCCTGCTGCCTACCATTTTTTATTCTAAATTTTATGGAGAGAGGCGTTTTGCCACCCTGGTGGCAACAGGAATCGGTTTTCTTTAGACACTACCGCTCTAATGTTCCATCCAAGTCTTTGCTGGCCTCCCTACTCCCCAATAGCCAAACAGCAGTTTCCAAAAAGTGGTAATGTGTATTTTTAGACTTTACTATTGAATGACATTGGAGGGTGGGAGAGGAAATTAATTATATAAATTTATCAGTGCTCTTCTCTTTACTTCCTAGACCCTCCTCTCTTTCCCTCTTCCTTGATGCTAATGAGCTGTAACAGATTCCTGATGAAGAAAACTGAAATGCAGTTCCTACCAAATAGGCTCTCCTGCCTACTATCAAATGCAAGATATTTTTGATAATCTAAATCAAAGAGTTTCTTTGATAGGACAACTAATGTTTGTTTTAGCTGGGTTATATATTTTATTATGTCCTGGAAGCACTTGCTGTAGCTTCAAATGATCACTATTTGCTTATGAATTTTAAATTTTGTATTCCTAAGTAACTTAATTATGTTTTTAGTGACCATTTCATATTCTTACCTGCCTGGATTTGTTCTCCCAAATTTCGATATTGGAGCCAGAGCAGAACTTTATTGCTCGAGAAGTTGGATTTTGCTTCCATCACATGAGGGTAAATATACAGAGCCCAGCTTAAACATCAAATTTCACTAGGTATAGGTGATACCTGCATCAGTTTCTCATTGTGCATTATAGAGATGTGACTAATTTTTGCCTTTTTTATTTGACCTTGGCTGAACTTTTAACAGGCTTGTTTATATTGTCAGTTGGATTTTTTTTTAGCGTGTCACCTGCAAATTTACAAATTCAGAAATCAATAAAAGAAGAATTTTAGAGGCTAAGGACTCAATACTTTGGGGGGGGTGTTGTTGTTTTTCCCCAATAAATGTCTAGAAGTTATGACCAATAATGAACTGAGAGCTAGAATGTGCCTTGATTTTTCTTTCCCTTAAGAGTCTTGCCCTCACAAAGGAGTCTTTTCCTTTCAAGGTATAATTAGCAGAGTGCAGATAAGTAAGTTTAGTTTTGTTCAGCAATGAACAGCATTGGCAACTTTGTTCTCATTAGGTAAAAATCAATCTTTTATTATGGCCAAACCCTGTGCAACAAAATCATATAATGATGGAATTAGTGGTTTTCTCCCCTTCATTGAAATTTTAATAGTGTTGTCACTATGGTATGCTCTAATAAATTCTGTGGTTTTTGTGTCTTTCATTTAGATCTTAAGTCTTACTATTTCCTTTGCTTCTCTATTAATGTTAAATAAAGTAGTTAGAAAATCAGAAATGTAATAAAGAAGTGTTTACTCTGGCTTCCATTGAATTCAGTGATTGTTGGTAGAAAGTTGTTGTCGTCATGTTTGACTCTTTGTGTCCCCATGGACCGTGGTGTCCATGTTTTTCTTGGCAAGGATACTAGAGTGGTTTGCCATTTTCTTCTCCAGTGGAAAGCAAGCAGAGGTTAAGTGACTTGCCCAGGATCATATAGCTGGTATGTATCTAAGGCCACATTTGAACTCACGTCTTCATGACTCCAGGCCCAGCCTTCTATCCATAGAGCCCTCTAGCCGCCTCAAAGTACTTTGGTAGAAAGTACTTTGTTGCAGTTAACTCCTGGATGCTTGGGAGTTTTGAAAAGGAGAGAATGTTATTATAGCTTGTTAATGCTATTAACCCATATGTTCTTTGATGCTTCTATATATCGTACATTTTTAAGAAGTCTGAGTACCTCACAAAAACTAGTATTTTAGGGCCCGTCCTTTTATAGCTCCTAGCATACACTGCACCCCATGAACATTTTTAAGTGCCTTTTTCTTGCATTCAGTTGCAAGTTGTACAATCTTCAGGCTCATCTAGACTAACCCTTTTATCTTACATAAGAGGAGACTGAAGCCCAGAGAAGCTATGGAGTTTCCTATGGTCACAGAGCTGGTTGGTAGTAGAATTTGGAACAGAATCCAGGTTTTTCAGTCCTATCCTTTTCCCATTCTGCTTCCTAATTATCAAAGAATTGGTGGTAATAGATATTTGTTTCAACATTTTAAAAAAATTCTATTTTAAATTCATTATCTGATTTCACTCTCACAAAAACCCTGTGAGATAGAAGTGGTATTAATCTCTTTTTAACAAATAAGGAAGCTGAGGTAGAGAAGTTCCATGATTTGCTTTGGACTAGAAGAATTTTGGTCTTAGGACTCTCAGTGGTGCTCTTTGTTTAATGATGGAGCTCCTTGTTAAAGGAACACCAGCCAATCTATTTGTCCTTTTCTTTGTAGCACATTATCACAGACATCACAGGTCTGCCAGACTTGGTAGTTTCAACTGTATGTACCCCTTGGACCTGAGAGCTTAAGATTATAAGGGAGCTTTTGTTGTGCTCTGGCTTAAATTTAAAACTTTGAAATTCAGTTTTGTGAAACAATTTAGAAATTACTGACTTTACCATATTTTACCCTTGTTTTGCATATGATTTTTAGGAAAATAATTCAGAATTTTCTTCTGATTCTTAATTGCTCTCTTCAAAAGCAAGAATTTTGGTTAGGACATATCTAAAATAAAAATCCAACATATTCTTCCTAATCAAGAAACTAGCTTTTGAAACCATCTCTGAGTGAAAGCTGAAGGAAAGAGGGAAGTTTGCTGAAGCTTGCAAATTTAAGGTACTGTAATGGAATTTATTATGTTGAACATTCACAATAAGGTGTTCTATGGGTATTTATCTCCAGATATGAGTGATACTCTAATACTCCAGTATGGTTTTAAATCTTAGATGTCATTTGAAAGATTCATACCAAGGTTATTTCATAAATGGACAGTTGATTGCCTCCTATCATCATTCTTTTCCTTAAAAACAACATACATACAAAAAGAGAAATGTCTCGAACCCTATTATCATTTAAGTGAAAAAAAATTCTAGTCATTGTCTGATGTTTAAGAAACAGGCATTTTCTCTCTTGTACCACTTACCCCAAAATAATAATTTTAAAAATTTTAAATGAGCCATAGGGCAAGTTAATGTTAGAACATTTTGTAATTTCTGTGTATTGAAATGCAGTGCAAATATGGCATGTCCAATCTTAATTTTTAATTTCCTTGTTTTTTTTGCTGTGACAAGGCCATTTTGAAGATAGTATTTGCAATTTACACAGATGTCAAGTGCTGGTTAATGGGTATCTTGAGGAATAAACAGAGGCCAATTGATATTACTTAAACTGTATTTTGATGAGCCATTATCAATATTGAGTACATTCTTTATGCATAGGTACTGGCTCTAACAAAATATTTTAGGAAAACCTGGCCCATTTTATATATAAATGCCTTATTCATTCAACTTAGTTTGAAAAATTATATTTTCAGGAGGTATTTAAGCACTGTGACCCAGGTTCTAGTCCTAGCTCTTCTACTTACTGTCTTATACCCTTCTGGGCCCCAGTTCTTTCAGATATAAATTGAAGAGGTTGATGTAGATGGCCTTTTTTGAGTTGGTTGTATTGGGCAGCTTTAATATTTTTATTCTTATTTACTATGTCATGCTTGTTGTTATTTTTTAAAAAGTTTGGCTTGGAATTTTTATGTTTTGAGGGAAGAGATCCAAAAAGGTTCCTAGAAGACATAGGAAAATATTAGGAAGAGAAAATGTAAGAGACACGAGGAAAATGTGCCTCACCAGAATGAAAGTAGTTAGGCTTTGAAACATTAGAATTAGTGG